AGCTCTGCTTTCCTTACTGTGCCTGACCTCACCAACATCAAGGCTGGCAAGAAAACGAAAACATGTTTTCAATTAACTTTTGCTTCCACCCACAAATTCTCACCCTTCCACTTACATTTAATTACTGTAATTCCAAAATGGCCCAAAAATGAACTTTCCATCTCTTGTAAAACTTGTTTGCACGTGAGCGGTATGGCTGAATGTGAGTGCCTATAGGACTTGTGAATGACCTGCCCAGCGGGTTCACAATGGATGGCTAGCGCACAAACAAAGCTGTTTTTCTTGGCATGCCACTGTTTAGAACCCAAACTTTCATGGTTTCCAAAATGATAAGTATTTTAAGACCAGCAAACCACAAGGAATGGTATATCTGCAAAAGCTACAGCTACTGAAATTGCTGTAGTAACTTGTGCCATGATGCCACTGTTAGTATTACATTGCTGGTTGTAGCATGAACCAATATGGTTTACGTCTAATCTATGTATGTTTCATACTAAAGCACTTAAGCCAAATTTAATATAAAAATATATTCTTGGTTAAATGGATGAGTGGTCTCCAAGCACATCCATCACCTGAACAGACTTTGATACAGAGCAAGACATAATAAATATGCATTCTGCATCAGCATTCAAACGATCTCTGACTCCTAACGTTTAGGTCCCTGAACAGCTGACTTGTTGAGCACTGAGCGTTACTTAGGTCTGCGTCCCTCACATCAGGACAAAAGCTACTTGTGTACAAATAGCAATAGGTAGACAAGAGACTTGGACATCCACGTTAAAGAGCTGCAGCAAAATTTCTAACCTGCCTCTCAGCATAATATTTTTCAAGACTTTTGGTATCACAGAATTGAGAATGTGCCAGGACAGTATGTACTAGGGAATGGAGGATTTATACCAGTGTGAGCAGCAAAACCGCCCTGGGACCAGCTGCAAGGGAAAAAGGTATACAGGAGATGGAGACAAGACCAAAGGGTGAATTTGTATGGACTTGTGTGCAGTGTTGTGGGTAAAGAAAGCAAGCTGAGTTCTGTGGCAGAGAAACAAAATACTTTTGTAAAGGTATTTTGGAGGAATTTGAATAAAAGAGGCCAGAAAGAGGAGTCAGCAGTAGTCAGGGGAGAATGCAGAAAGGATGTGAGCTTTGGTTGTTGCAAGAAAGGCAAAAGGCTTCTCATATTCATATGCTCTATGGCTGTAAATTGAGAGTAGCATAGGCTCTCTATTTTACAGACTCCTTTTTTCAGAAATAAGTTTGTGAGCCAAAGCAAAGGAAAAAGATGAATGGATTGCAATAATTGCCATTTAACATAAAAATACATAAAATTTACAATTCAGTTAACTTATCAAATGTTAAAAAAAAAAAAAATCAGCAAATAATGGACATCATTTGTTTTGTTCAGAGCTCAGAGGTAGAGACCAAATTCTGTAAATTAATTTCTGCAAAAGCTGTTTTTTTGTGTGCTTTTTTCTTTTTTTTTTTCTTCAAACAGGTCTGGATCCTATTCGTTGTAGAATATACTGATTACCAACTATTTTTAAGAGCTTTACACAAACATTATTTCTTTTGTTGTGTGAAATGCAGAATCAGCCATCTGGCAAATGCCCCAGAGCTAAAATCTTTTACATGACATATAATTCAAAATGATTAAATATACAACAGAAAATAGCTATAGCATTGCACTTAAAATAGCATGAACTTTTACTGCCGATCAAAACTGATTTCTTTAGCTTAACAAGTATCCAAAGAACAATTATTTGAAGAGCTTTTAAGAGTTTCAATATGTAGGAACCAAACCTCATCTAAATTCAGTGTCTTAAGTCAAATAAAAAAGAAACAAATGTACAAAAGATTAAATGGTCCTGTGTTGTAAGTAGACATTTAAATCGATGGGAAGCTAAATTCATGTGAACAAAAATACCGTATCCCTTGTGTGTGTGTTGCTGGGGCTTTCCTCTCCTTAGCAATAGGGGCATCTGCCAAAACAGCTCCTACATTCTTAGGCAATGATTGGGGACTAGCCTGGAATCAGAGCGCTCATCCACTGCCTCCATCGTCAGAGTGGTGATCTCAAAGAAGAACAGCGAAGAAGCATCAATGTGTGCTCCCCAACTCCAGCCTTTCTTTAACTTCTATTTTTTTCCTTTTTTCCCTGCACTGCACTCAACTCCAAGTTACGCTTGCTGTCTTTCTCCAGAAATACTCCAGGCCTGAAAAACTGCCAGGTCCTCACCCTGCGCCCAGTTCTCCAGTAGTTTATGAGAAAGGCACACAGACGTGCGCGTGCTCTTTGGGGTGCATGAGGGTAGGTACAGAAATATTGCCCTGTGCAATTACTGATGGTTATGGCTGTTCCACATTCTTCACACAAGTCAAAGTCTCCATTTCTCAGGCAGCACCTGGCGCAGGTCGCATCAGATTTCAGTCAAAGAAGCCTAAATGTAGCAGATTTATCTCGTGGACTTTCACACTTGGATAAGCCTGATATGGGTGAAAACATCTCTGCTGACTATCGAAAAAATTGCTTTTAAATCCTTTCAGGCCTCCATCCCACATTAATGGTGGGAGGTAACTCTAAGTCCATGATTACTAAGGCTTAGAATTACAAGGTGTTCTCAATCTTGCCTGTGGAGTTGGGTCAGCCTCAAAACCAAGGAAAACTGGATGGTCTAAAACCAGCCTTGTTAAAACTAGAATGAAATAATATTCTCGAGTCTTGATCTTTTCAGCTTTTAATGATTCCTCAAGCAGCAGGTCTTTTCCTGTTGCTTTCTACAAGATATTCAGGCTTCTAGAAATCCTAGGCTGATTGCTGGCTGGCTTGGGACTGCAGCAGCACCAAAACCTTTTCTCTTAGTGGGCACTTGCCTTGGCTTTTTGGGCCTAATCCTGCTCTTAGTAACATGCATGTTAGTTCAGTGACCTGACTGAGTTATAGAATAAAGGCAGGCTTTGTGTCTTCCTATTCTTGGTCTCATACAAAGAGATGCACGTGTTTCAGGTAATACTGACTGCAGTGCAGAAAGCTGCCACCCTACGCACTGCACTCGTACTAATTTAACCTGAAAATGGAACGCAGAAGTAGAAGCACAAATTTTCTCATATTGCAAAGAGCAAAAGTGTGTTTCATACTATTTAACACAGCATCAGGAGAAACAGGGCAATTTTCATCAGAAGTATCTTTGCTTTTCATCAGAAGAGAGGTGACCCAGGCGATCTCCTATCGTGCTTCCCTCCGGAGAACAAGATTTCTATTTCTGACTATTTTCTCTTTGAAAATGATGGGCCTCTCCAATATTCAGGGCTCCTAAAACTTGAATCATTTCTCTTCTTTTACCAACCTGCTTTGCATTGAACATAACATCATATATTTCCTACTTCCCCCTGAAAAATTGGGAAATCCTCCTGTCTTTCTGTTGACTAAACCCTCTTACAGAGGTGCCAGGAGACCAATTTCTGGGAGAAAAAAAAGAATACTCTGACTGAAACAGGAGTCCTGTCCCAGTGCCTATTCAAAACAAACAGTGTATCTCCTTACAAACCAGTATTATTATTCTTATTTATGTGCCTAATTTTGTGTACTTCGCAATACTAGAGAAAAAAAAAAGATTGAAGATCATATGAAGAATGAAGAGAAATTTGAGCATCCCTAAGGAAACAGAGGTTTGGGGATGGAGTAATAACTGCAAGACTGCAATGAGAATTTGGAAAACTTTGCTAAAGTATAACAAAACTGCTGCTGTCATTTCATTCTCTGGGCCTGATTATATCTTCATGATGGGCCTTTGCTCTGCTTTACAGTAAGAGCTCTTTAAGTAAATGAGGATCAGACCTCCGTGCTAGCGAAATGCAAAGCTTGCCAAATTTAATAGGAGTCTCTACGGTACTCTACGAACACTCATCTTGACAAAGAAGTGGTGGAAGCAAACTCTGCAATTGTAAATGGAGACTATTTTTTTTCCAGTCTTCTGGAATGATAGCTGGGTGCTGCCAGTTTGGCAGGAAAGTCAGTGCCAAGGCAGTATGCTTCCTTGCTCTGTTTCCCAAACGGCCAAGAAACAATCAGAAATTGCTTCATAATAGGGCCAGGGTGAAAGGTGAGAACTGGAGTATTCTTTATGCCTGCTTCCAGACCTGAGGAAGATAGTGTCGTTTTGGTAAACCTGTCAAGCCGTTGTAAGAACTTCCTGAATGCTTCCTACCATCTGCTTTTGATGCTTTCAAGACTTGGCTGGAAGCCTGGAGGTTTTCCTGCTCCTTCCTGCCCAACCTATAATGGAGTAATTCTGGATCTGTTCCCTGTCATTCCAGCCTCTTCCTCAGTTTCTTCTGCTTACAGCTGGGCTTTTTTAGTTTTTTTTTTTTAACTACAGTGGCCTTGTGCCCTGAATCATCTCTCCTGGGGCAGAAAGTGTTCCTCTGATGTTGAGCAAGTGCTGGGTTTTTCAATTGTGTTCATGTTCTTAAGAGGAAGGGTCTGGCCTACATGACACATTCCTTCTTCACACTCACATCAACAAGGTTAACTTTGTGTCCCGGCTTTGCAGGGAATGGTCACACAAAGCACATCTCCAGCAATGCTGTCCGACCGCACGCTGCGCCGCTCTGGGCAGTGAATATTGATTGATATAATTCGTAGGGTTTGAGATAATTGTCATCAAGGACAATGAGTTCAAAGAACAGATTAAAAAACAATAAATTGAATTCCAAGGCGTTCCCTCCTGTACTAATCTGTGTAGGTTCCTGTGTTTTTGGAAAGCATGTTGCTTATCTTCCTCATCAGTAGGCCCACTGCATTCCAGTATTTTGGATCAATGCCATTTGTAATAATCTAGATCAGTTTTTATTCAACGTTTATAAAACAGGCCATGTATCATAGGGTATATTTTATAGCAGATGGTATCTCCAATTCATTCAGCTTCCCCCCTTCACTTCCCTCCTCCGACATCATAGTGCACACTCACAAAAGCTCTTCAAAGTAGAGCTGAGCAGAATTTTTTTCAACAAATAGTAAAATTTCTGAAAAAGGGAGTTTCCAAGCAACAAAATTGTTCAACTGTGGCATGCTGAAAATGCAGCATTCTGTCTTCTAGAAACACCAAGTCTTGTGATTTGGACATTTGGAAAAGAAAAGAAAAAAAGAGGGGGGTGGTTCCTTTGAAAAGCATTTTTGTTTAAAAATAAATAAAAAAAAAATTATATATATATATCTGTACTGAAAAGGGTGATAAACACAGAGTTTAAATAACCAGAACACAAAGCACTCGTTTCAGGTCAGATTATCTTTTTGAGTTACCCTGGTGTCAGCTGTTGGGGGTTCTTCTGTTTGCATATTATTTGTAATGCTTCCCTTTTGACTTCATGAGAAGTGACTTTCATCAAGGTTTATTAATTTGGGGATTGATTCATGAGACCCAGTCTTTGTCAGATTTGTCTCAAAACACAGCTCTAGAATGTGAGAAGACAGTTTCCTATTTAGCCACACATGAGCCCTAAAGCCCATTTAAATAAAAGGGGCTGCTCTCACACTTGAAGACAAGCAGATGCTTAAGCCCTGTGCTGGGTCACAACACAGCCTGCCAGCTGTCCAGAGGAATGCTGCACACCTCACTGCCATTCCTTTCCCTGAGATCATAACAGAGGAGATTGAAGATTTTCCTGAGATTAAATTACTAAGTGGGAATACAATTATTTCACTGTAATTTTACAGAACGTGACCAGTACCACTCTGGGGATACATAAATAGATAAGAAGAATAAAGATTTAAGAAATATTTTAGCTTGGCGATAACAGAACCAAAGCACTTTTGACTTTAACCACCTGTCCTAAAAGCTACAAGTGCATGACTGGGGTTTACAGTGCCAAAGCAGTTCTCATACCTGCATTTCTGAGAAATCTCAGCTCGTAGTCAGTGACAATTCTGGTTTCAGGATTATAGAATCCATCACCACAGTCGTAACATCCTGCTGGGATTTTTCGAGGAGGATCCAGATTGGTAAGCTGAGAAATGCCTAAATTAGAAACAACAACCAGAAAGGGTTTGCTTTATTTTGGCTGTTTTTTCCCTCCCATCTGCATTTGTGACTTCGCTCAAAATAACTAAGAAATATTACATCTCCTTGGCATTTGCCACAAAAACAACATCGTCGCTTTACAACGAGTTTTATAAAAACGTTCTGACAATTTTGCTGACGGAGAAAACGGAGAAATGCACGGAAAGATCGGGGTAAGAAGATCTCGCCCATCTCCCCGTGCCGCGACTCCGCCACGGAGCCAGCAGGGCACGGCGGCCCCAGCCGAGCACGGCAGCGCCGGGGACGAATCCCGCGAGCCTCGGCTGCACACCGCGCTCCGTTCGGCTCTCGGCGCTGCGCCAGGCCGCACCCCCCCGCCGCACGCTCGGGACGCGCACTAACGGCCTCGGCCGGCCCCGCCTCCTTGTGCCGGGCGGCCCCGCACGTCGCTACCTGCGGCTCTGAGCCCCGAGCAGATCTCGCTGTAGAACCTCCTGTCGTAGCCGTCGCAGTAATCCCACCTTTCGGCCGCGTATTCGAGGCCGTCTGCAAAAGTGAACTTCCCCTGCGAGGCACGTCCCGGGGTGCCCGGTGAGAGCCGGCGGCTCCCGGGCCGCGACCCCCGGTGCCGCCCGCCCTACCTCCACGGGCAGCCCGCGGTGCCACACCGCGCGGAAGGTGCCGCCGCCGGGGAACAGCAGCTCGCCCCGCCCGTGGAACGCGCCGTCCCGCAGCTCGCCGCGGTACTCGGTGCCGGTGGGCAGCGTGTAGGAGCCCCGTCCCTCCATCCTACGGGAGAAGAGGGGCGGTCGGGACCGCTCTCCCCGCGCCGTCCCGACTCCCCCCGCCGGTCCCACCTGCCGCGCTCGGTGTCGCCGCAGAAGCGGCTGCCCGTCACCTCCATGGCGGCGCTGCGCGGCGCGGTCGCCATGGCAACGCCGCCGCCCGGGTGAGCAGCCGAGCTGCGCCCCCCGCCGCGCCGCCGCACGCGCGGTCCCGCCCTCCTAGCGGCGGCGCATGCGCGGTGTCGGCGGGGCGCTGAGGGGAGCTCAAGGAGAGCGGCGCCGCCATGCCCGGCACCGTGGAGGTGCCCTCCCTGGAGGAGCTCGATGTGCAGGAGGTGAGGGAGGGGCTGGGCTCGGCTCGGCCTCGCCGGGCGCCGCTGGGGTGGCCGCTCCTATTGTCGCTTTGTCCCGCTGCAGGTGACGGTCAGCTCGGCCGTGCTGAAGGCCGCGGCCCACCACTACGGCTCGCAGTGCGACCGGCCCAACAAGGAGTTCATGCTGTGCCGCTGGGAGGAGAAGGACCCGCGGAAATGCCTGCGGGAGGGTCGGCAGGTCAACCAGTGCGCGCTCGACTTCTTCAGGTGAGCGCGGGGGGCGCAGAGCTGCTGAATCCGCCCTGGAGGCGGGCAGTGGCGCTGAGCGGGGGGCGTCGTGCCTTCTGTGTTACCTGCTTGAAGTTGACCTTGTCCTTTCTCGCTGCTGCAGAGTGCCTTGCTGCTTATAGATATGTTATGAAATCTGGAAAAGAAGCTGAAATTCTGTGCTGTCACCTGTTTCACGTGCACACTACTGTAATAACTCCGTTAGCTTCAGAATTGAGTTCTTATGACAGAAGTACGGGTGGGGGCATGTGTCAGTGCCGGTGCTGTGTTCCTAGGCTGCCAGCACAGCGCCTGGCTCAGCTTGCTTGGAGCGTGTCCTCCACTTTTGTAGTGGGCAGTGATGAGAGCCTTCGTTCCCTGAACGTCACAGTGATGCAAACTTCTGTGATGCTGGCATTAGGTTCTGTTTAATGGTGTTTCAGATACTGTCTTCTGACAGCCTTAGGTGGGTACGAGGAATTGCAATGAGGAGAATTCAGAAATTGAGGTTTGAATGAGTAAGAGAGGAAAATATTAACTATACCACTTGCCAAAGGTTTTCTTTCTGCAATCTCTTACAGGAAGATTAAAGTACACTGTGCAGAGCCATTTACTGAGTACTGGACATGCATTGACTATAGCAACTTGCAGGAGCTCCGTCGATGCCGAAAGCAGCAGGCAGTGTTTGATAACTGTGTGCTAGAGAAGTTGGGCTGGGTGAGACCTGATCTGGGACAGCTCTCTAAGGTAACTGTCTGCCCTTCTGATTGGGTAATCAGATTCCTCTTTTCCTTCCTACGTGCAATTTTTTTTACCTTCACTACCTCACTGGAGGTAGGAGTCTTTCATCCAATCCATGCTGCGTCCTTAGCGTGATCTGCTGGTGCTTCCCTTAACCTAACTTTTCTGTTAAATGCCATAGGAAGTTGCATAATTCTTTACTTTTTCTTTATAGGTCACAAAAGTGAAGACAGACCGACCTATCCCTGAGAATGCCTATCATTCTAGACCTAGGCCAGAGCCCAATCCACCTGTTGAAGGAGAGCTGAAGCCTTCTCCATTTGGCAGTAGGCTTTTTTTCTGGACGTGGTAAAGTGGGCAGACTGTGCCATAACTGAAATGCAAAGGTACATTGATTGCAAATGTAAATTGTCCAGTACATGTTGAGTATGACTTTAACTTTCACGATTAAAGATTAAAAAAAAAAAAAAAGTTATGTGACTTAGCAGACTTTCTTTAAACATACATGTCTGTATTTCTGAGCTGCTATGATGTGTGAGTATCTCCACTTTGCTCTGTGTTCTCTGTATCCCACAGTCCTAGGGGCCATCTTAATGCCAGCTGTGATGGTTGCTCGATGGTGGCTGCCAGCCCATGTCTGAGATGTGTATAAATATAGTTTACATCTTTGCTGCTTCAAGTGATCAAAAAACAGTGTGAGAACCCTGTCATTTGCATCGAGTAAACTTGGAAAGCTAACAAGACATTAATGTCTTCCTGTACAATCTTGCAACCAGTAATTGTGCAGATTTTTACCCAGGACCTGTCTAGGAGCAAGCTTTTAGTCTGAGTTGGTGGCTCTGATGGGTGTGAGATCAGTACTGCTTTCGATAACAGGATCCTTCTCATTACCAGCTACTTAAGCCTCATGCCAGGTTTGTTGGTTACTTTTGTTTATTTTTGTTGATGGGGAATGCAAACTACTTCATCAGCAAAATCACAGTGAATCAACTCCTTTAAGAAAGGCTGTCTTCTAAAGGACCTTGTTCTGTTAAGCGGTTTAAGAAGGTCCCTCATCTTCTGATGAAGGACCTGGCATGGGGCTTAGGCAGCGTTGTCTCACTGATTCTTTCTGATAGAGGAGTTTGGCAGCTTTCTCCAACTAACTTTTCTGCAGTATCCAACCTTATATTTCATCAGTCTAGTCTTTCCTGTGCTCTTCTCCTCCAGTGACAAGAACTGTATCACAAAGGTCAGAAAAAAACAAATGGACTTGTCTTCATAAAGCTGTGTGCAGTTCAGTTTGACCTGGGCCAGATTGTGTAGTCTGAACCACAGCAAAGACTTGAACAGTACCTTGAGTAGGCTAACAGTGAAATCGGGATCTGAAGATTTAATATCTCCTTGTTTGGGGTAGGATTAAGCTTAATGTGTCTGTAGCTGAAGCATGGATCCACGGAGCTAGAGGAAAAATTATATAAGCTTTATCTAAAAATAGCTTGTGTATGGTGTGCCTGATGGATTCCTGCTGGTTTCTATTTGGTTATGTAGACTGAGACTCAGAAGGCAGGTGCTGTGGCATACATGTTTGCATTTTAATGTACATATCATGCAGTCCTAACATCTACTTGTCTAAACCTTTGCAGTTTTTCCTTACAGGTGACTGCCATTATTTCAGAGCAGCCATATATTACTGAAGAAAAATAACTTCTTTTCCCCAGAGACTGAAATTAGAGGAAGTTTGAGGTCTAATTGCATTAATCTGTAGTATCATCAAGTAGAAGATGCATGTTCCTGTGATGTTAACATGTATTGCATCTAATCTTGTTGACCCATTCCATTACTTGGGCAACCTTACAAAAATATATTTTATATATTAGCAAGACATAGTAAGTAATAGCTTTAAATTGTCAGCATATTGTATGAAACATTTTGGAACTGAACATTTGCTTTTGAGTGGACATCCTGTAGTCAGCTCCTGATCATAGTTAGAGGTTTAGGTGATTTTTTTTTTTCCCCTGTTAAATTCATTCTGAAAAGAATGACATTGGTAAGTAGGTGGGGGGGATGTGTTTAAAAATCCCATGCTTACATTGGCTAGTACTGTATGGGGGGGGGAAGTACTGTAAGTGGGGGGGGAAAAAAGATTGAAGCTGTAACCCCAGCAGTTTAAGTCTAGGCATCTCTCCTGCCAGCTGAATCTCCTACGTTTTGGATTGCAGGCTGTTGATCCTGTAGTTATGTGTTGGCCTTGTTTAAAAGTCAGAATTAACTGCTTTCTTATATCCCAGTTGAGTTTCATGCAGGAGTGGGAAGGTGAATTTACGAAGAGTACAGCTGAGGAGGATAATGAAGTGATCATAAAGTCAAGTGCAATTCAGCTGCACTGTGGGCACTTCTTCCATTAACTTCTTTGAGGTAATTAGTTCATGGATTTTATCTCTTGGCTGAATCTCTGCAAAAAGTCTTGCCAGAGATCTGTTTCTTGGTGCTTTGGACAGTGCCTGCATGTAGCTATTTCTGTTGAGAGTTGTTGTGTGGCTTTACTCAAACGTAGATTGTCCCTTTGGAGCTGTAATGTTTTTTTGGAAACTTTAGAACAAGTGAATGTCAAGATTGAGTAAAGACCATGAAACTGTTTTTGAGGAATGTATCGTGACGTTTTTTTGGCAGATGGAGAGCAAATGCACGCAGATTCAATGCAGATATTTTACTGGCAATGTGAGAAGTGTTATTTGTTATGCTGTAGGCTCTAAGGTCTGCCAGAGCTCTTAATCGTGTGTGAAATTAATAGAACTTCAAGCCAAAGTGATGGCAGTCTGCCCCGTGCCGTGGTCTGCATTGGGCAGAAAGCAGTCCCTTTCAGTGTGGATGGAAAGAGAAAAATCCTAGTGCAATTTCTAGTCTTTGGAAGGGAGGGGTGTGCTTACTGTGAGGTACCAGCATCACGACATTGTTCCAAAGGGAAAGCACCCTGCAAGGTATGTCTGGCAGCTTGATATCCCTGCTTCCACATGGTTCTGCTCCTTTCCCAGGGTGGAAGAGCTGGAGATGTCTTGGTAGCAGGAATGAAGGGAGTGCAGCAGTAAGACCCTCTTGGCTTACAGCCACCGAACTGTTCATCTGAGAAAGCAGTGGGAAGGAATTGATTTTTAATAACCTCTCCTGCCTGTTTAATAATTCTATTGTGTGTCACTCGTTCTTTTTAAAACAAAAAGACAACAAACAGACTTCTAGGATTCAATTTAGGTTGAACTAGCCTCTCAGACATTTGTGAGCTTGAGATTTGCTAGGACAAAAGCCTTGCATGTATTATTCCTCTGGCTTCTGTTGTTTCTACAATGGAGCCATGATAGCTGAGGAATTTTCTCTTTTGCCCATTCATAAGTAGAGAAAATGCTTCAAAGGTTTTGAAGAATCTTCATCATCAGAATAAGGATATTTCTGTGAAAGCAGAGAGCAAACTGGGAGTTCACAGTAACTTTGTTTTTTGAAGGCTTGCTCCTGCACGAAATGTTTTGAAAGTAGAATCCATCTGGATATTAATAAGAGATTTAAGACTCCCTCTTGTGGCTGCTTCAAGCTGATCTTTGGGTATTTCTATGGAGATCTTGTTATCATGGAAGTCCTAAGGCTAGCTCAGTATTGCTGATAGTAACTTGATTAAATATTCTTTTTGTTACAAAATTCACTTAAGCATTGCTTCAACTATCTTTTTTTTTTTTCTTCACGTAGAAGAAAAACCCATTCCTGAATTGAGTGTGAAGCAAGAAGAGGAAGGAAAATGATGTTGAAAAAGTTGTGATTGCGTCAGTTGTGTTTGATACAAGTTAAGGATATTAAGACAGCCAAAGTAGATAGAGGTTGAGAAATCTCAGTGTGATTTATTGCTCCTCTGAATCCAGAGGAGTGAGCCTGGTGCTGCAGAGAGCAGGAGGGTGCACAGTTCTGAACCTGCTGGGCCAGTGCTGGTGGTGGTGACAGTCAAACACAGGAAGCAGATTGACTGCAGTATTTAACTTCATGTAAAAACACATCATTTGCTCTATTAAAGATGGACGTGACCTTAGCAAATGGTCTTGCAAAAGTGTTGGCAAGCCTAACGTGTGCATTGGTGCAGGTTCCTCTTATGTGTGATGTCTGTGTTTGATGACAGCAGTGCTGTGTGTTCTGAGCCTGCTGGCTGTGTGGGAGCTGCTCCAGGCTGTTGCAGGGCTGGGACACAAGCAGAAACTGCTGGAAGTGAAGAGTTGCTTTATCTGACTGGATCCAGGAACAAGAGGACTGAAAGCAAAACAAGAAAAGCGCTTAATAGGAGAAAAGCCTTTCTATCTTGCCTGCATCCCAGGCATCTCCTTGTTCCTGCTGCCCTCACTGCCTAGGAAATAGCTTAGATCACGTTTGTCAGCATCTGTCTATTGCAGATGCTCAAACAAAAGGATTCAGACCTGCGTGTTCTTGTATTCTTGGCTGGACTGGCAAATGCGAATGGATAAAGCAAGTGTTTTGTTAACACTGTTCTGCAGCACAAAATAGCAAACAGCTTTTTCTGTTTTGATAGGGTTTAAATTAATTTCTCCCTTCTCATCAGTGGAATTGAGGACTGGGAAAAATGGCCATGCCTGTTGCTTTGTTAAGCTTGGCTTTGGCTCTGATTCTGGCACCAAGACAGGAAATAAAATACAGGGGAAGGGGAGCTTTCTAAAAAAGCTGTGGGTCTGCTCCCAAGTTGGTAGGTTAAAGCTTACAAAACACTGACTCTGAGGCATTGCTCTAACGTTTGTAAAATCAGCATGGCAGCTCTGTTAAGGACCATGAGTCACCATGAGGGTGGTTCAGTTCTTTATGAGTAGTAGTGCAAGCTTCTGCTTCCATGCGATCAGGGGCTAGAATTTAAATGGAGTCAGAATTACCTCTTTGATTAGAGCACTGTCTGACCTCTGCTTTGTTCTTGCTGCCTGCTTACAGCTGTGCCAAGTGGAACGTGACCTGTCTTTGTGTGAGAGAAAAGGACTGGACGGAGCCCTTCAGCATCAGCCACAGTAACTAATCACTCCCCAGCCGCTCTGTGGGCTGCCGTGCAGCCGGGCAGAGACCAGGCTCCTGCGGGACACAGTCAGGTGTGGCCCAACTTGGCTGTCGTTTCCAGGAAGCTGCTGACAGCAGGCCTGACCCTGGCCATGTGCACGCAGCGGGAGGCTCTGCCTGTCCCCAGGCGCGGCCTCAGGCGCTCGTGGCAAGCCTGCGCTCCAGGCTAAACAGAGGAAGGTGAGGGTCAGCAGCAGAGAGCTCTGCCCAAGACTCAGGAAGCACATTTTGGCAGAGGAAAGAAATACAATACAAGCAGGGAGGGAAACTCAGCTTCCATCCAACCCCCTCCAAGAAGCTTTTGGCTCCCTACAGCTGCCAAGTCTTTACTATCAGTTATTGTGCTCTTTTATTGTTACAGGCTCTTGTGTTTGTTTTCTGCTTTTACACCAGTGTGCTGCAAAGGGGAAAGA